CTTGCTTGCTTGCTTGCTTGCTCACGGCCATGTGGGCACCCGTTAGCACGGCCCCCCACGCGAGCTCTCCCTCTCGCTCTCTCTCTTCCTCGCTCTCTCGCTCTCTCTTCAACACGGCCAGGAGAGTCGACGCATGTCTTCCCCACGGCGTGCAGTCGCGCACTGGGGAATTATGTGCAGACTAGTTCAATCGAAGATTCGAGATCTCAGACACAGGATGGCCCCCGAAACCACTATGACCCCCAACGCGCCTCAAGACTAAGAGTGATCTCTCTTTCTTTCTCTCTACAGCGAACACCGCCCGCTAATCTTTCTGGTTGCCCGGAGGCACGCGTCCAAAGAGGATATCTTGTGGTGTGTTGCGATGATCTTGCACATGCAGCCAGGCGAGGGCTGGCCGCCGCCCTCGCAAAAAACGACTGGAGGAGACGCGTGCCTAAGGTCGGATCAGCCTACAGGCAGGAAACAAGGACAGATCACGAACATAGACAACCGACATAGACTTTGGACCCCATCTTCCCGGCAGAGAACAGAACAGCCGCTTCTTTCTTCGAGCACTGGGCAGAGGTGCTAAGCTAGGAGCCCCAGACTCGCTCAAAGAGCTGCTCGGCCTGGGATTACGGCTTCGGGATCTTGTGGACCCGTTGGACTGGAATTTTTTGTTCGCAGGCATCTGAAAGACACTTGTTGGGCAGCGTTCTTTTTTAGTAGGCGCATGCTTGTGGCATATCAAGACGCATGATTACTGGTAAAGTGAAGAAGCGTGGACCTAGATCGCTGTTTGCCTCCGATGGCTACCTATGGCTACCTGCCACTAGACAAAGTTGCACTAGAATTTCCTTTTCGGATGCCTCTTGGCTAGATCAAAGCTTTTCGATGGTAGGGATCCCCAGGACCAGATCCTCACTTACACCAACAACATGTCTTTGGCCGCCATCACAGGACGAGATTATCAAGAAGCATGTGCATTGTGCGCGCATGAGTCTGAGACCCATCTGGTTCCTTTGACGAAGAAGATGCCCGTGTTGAGCATGGCGCTGTCTTCGCTGACAATCATATTCACCTGCTGCCGAGGCATGTTGTCGAGCATCCCTGCTTTCTCTAACCTCGACTTCTACGAATCCAGTTGCTGTTCCTGTAGTCGGGCCGTGAATCAGTTAGAGTATACCTTGCCTATTTAGGCTAATAATGCCACCGCCAACCCACTAGATGATCATTCCTAGGGTCCCCCCTACACATCACCGATATATCACTACTACTTCCCCCATTAGATGATCATTCCTAGG